TTAAAAAATCATTTTCTCTCTTTTGCTACTCCATTCTATTCAAACCAAACATACTATTGATATCAAATGAAAATAGAATGATTATTTAACATCCTATTTGAAAATAGAGCAATTTTACTAAAGATTGTTTAACATTTCTCCTTGTGATTCTTATTGACAACAACAACAGCAACAACAAAAAAGGAAAAAAAAAAAGGATTCTTACATTTTTCTCCCCTTCCCAAATTTGCTTATTTATCTTCCCATGGATACAGCCCCATTCTCTGTAAAGATTCAGTCTATATTTAAGTTTTGCCGGGCAAGCTAGTTAATGTGCCCCCACTTTCCATTAACTAATTAATTATATTACTTACATACAAAAGAAATCATCTCATATTTTTTATTATTATACTAATTCAATACTCTAAACCAATAAGATACAAATCACATTTTTTTTTTCAAAATTTGAATAATATATATTAAAAAAATATTTTACAATTCAATACAATTTAAACGATAAAATACAATCTCACCTACCAATATATATTTACTCAAGACTCAAAAAAATGCAATACTAATGTAAAGAAAAACATGTGATGTAGTTATTAGTCTCAGTTACAACCACAAGAAAGATTGTTAGACTTAGGCCACCAACATTTTACTCTTTGTTTTGTTAAATTACTTTTTTACCCATATATTTTCAATTTTACTCTCATCACTTATCTTTTCTTCAATAGATAGGAAAGTAATTTTATAAATAATAAAATAAAATACTAGTAGCCTTAACAATCTCTTTTGCGGTCACAATCGGACCGTAGATACCACTTCCCTAGAATAATACAATCGTGTACATTTTCCCCCAAATATGATCCAAAGTATAGAAAAATTCAAAATTTAATTTTTTTTCTTCATTTTCATGTCTCAGAAGAAAAAAAGGTGGGGAAAATTATTTCTACCCTAATACATAGTTCAGTACCATATGATGGATTAAGAGAAAACTTTGGAAGACCATTAAAATGAGCCAAGTAAAAGCATACATCGTTAAATATCCTATAAGACTGACTTTTCACAAGGATGTTCAAGAACCATGATAGCATATCTAACTCCAAATCACCATCAACGTTTAACCTAGGAATAACAGACAATAACTGTGCTTGAATTGGGGCACTAACGTTCCAAGGAGTTGTTAAATACTCAAATCTTCAGTCAAGCAAGTCTGAAACTGCTGTCTTCTTAAAGGGATCTACCTGAGCCAGCTGTGCAACCAAAGACTTATTTGGGAATATGTTGTCTGCTTTCATTCTCTCCCTAATACCATAAAGTGGAGCTTTGGCATTTACATAAGCCTGGATTAGAGCTTGAAATGGTTGTAACCGAGATATATACCCTGCCTGTCTCATCCTATGAAACATTTTCTCGGCATTATGGACATCACCCTTCTTTGCATACTGATTCATAACTGTCATGTAAGAAACAAACAAGGGCTTTGCAAGGTTCTGTTGGGCTGCCTTCTGCAAGATTGAGTCAGCTTTTTCAACCTCTCCTGCTTCTACATAGAGCCTAACAAGTGAATCCCAAGTTAATGGTCCAATCCGGCAGCCACTATCTGCCATTCGCTTAACAAGATCCTTTCCCTTTTCAACCATCTTGTTCCTCGAATACACCTTTAAGAGTGCAGAATAATATTTTGAGTTTGATGAAGGCTTCGTCCATACATTCAACATCTCCTCAAAGACGGCTTCTGCTTCTTCAATTTTCTTCAACTTTCCCCACGCATCAATAGCAGCCAAGCACTCATCAAGCCGGGGATTTGATTCACAGACCTTCCAGATTCTTCCTACCTCATCAGCCTTTCCAAGCTCTGAATAAAGAGAAAGTAAATATTTGCATGCCCAGCGTTTCTGTGTTAAATCATCTCCTTCCATCTCCTTCAATACCTCTTCAGCTTTGTTTGCAAGCCCACCTGAGGCATAGTGTTTGGCCACAATAAACTGCGTATACAAATCTGGTTCAATACCTTCAGCCTTCATTGCCTCAACAATTTGCTCCATTCCAGCTATATCATTGGATATGCCTTTCGTGTCTATTAAAGTTTTGTAAGTGAAGAGTGTAGGTTTGACATTTTCTTTCTCCATTAATAACAAGACATCAGCTATTTTCTTCCTATCATGCCTCTTGTAGAGGAGGAGCAGCTGGTTGCAAGTAAATGCAGTGATTGGGAATTCTAGGTCCTTCATTCTGTTGAAGACCATCTCTGCTTTCTTCCCATTGTTAAAGAAAACACAGTTTGCCAAAAGGGTTCGATAGATCAACTCACCTCTGAAAGATTTAGGAACCATTTCAATGTAATTTTCTGCCCTCTGTAGGCCTCGAACTTTGGCAATCAAATCAAGACGTGCAGCATAATCTCTCTCATTAAAGTCAAGCTTCTTATTTTCTTGCAACCACTCAGAGAGCTGAAAAGAATTGAAGTGGGAAAAAAGGGAAAAGAAAATGCAATGAGGTCAAGCACACCTTTGAGAATTTGAAGTTAAGCATGGTAGAATGTCTAGTGTTGATATCTAAAGCCAGAATACTAAGCTCAGAATACAACATCATAAAACCATATTATGCAACATAAAAAAGGCATATAATTGACTCAAATATAATGACCTCTAAAGGAGAGAATAACCAAACTCCAAAATCAAGTTTGATTTCACTAGTGAAGTCAATGAGTTAGGCCAAGCACCATATAGCACAGGTATGGGTATGACTAGTTTAAGTACTTCATAGGCTCAAGCTCATTTAAGCTGAGTCTGAGATTTTTAACAAGCTTGAACTCAGCAGGTTAATAAGTTCATTAAACATTCTCACACAAATCTAGCTGCATAGTAAATGCACAAAAACACCCAAAAGCACAGAACGTACTAAGACACATGCAATGATCTATTGAAAAAAAAAAAAGAAAAAAAAAAATAAAGGAAGATATATGAGACTGTATAATATGTGCACATGGACAGAGCCAAAATAATTAAATACTTAAATCACCTGCAATGCCCTCCCAAACATTTTACGCTTACGAAGATTAAGCATGGCCAATGATATCTCTTCTCTCCTCAACTCTTTTCCTTCCTCAACCCACTTCTCAAGAGCCTTGTGAACAGAATTACCTGGACCAGAAACAATGGCTTCGAACAGCTCTGAATAAGCACCTCTTTTTGATGTTTTCTTCTCATCGGGAATGGTTTCGATCTCTGATAATTCTAGTTCATTTTCAACAGGCTCTTCAACATCTTCATCATCACCTGGGTGTTCTGGTTCAGATAGAAGTTCATCTTCATTTTCTTCCCCTGCACTAGAATAATCATTTGCCTCTGCACTAGCAGGTGTTTCAAGTTCAGGAAAACCATCTTCCAAGTCATCTTCCTCTCCTTTGCTTTCTGCACCAGCTTTGGAGGAAAGAGCACGCCTCCCAATATAGATATTTGAAGAAGCATGTCTGGAATGGTAAAATCTCAACAGTGATATACATGTCTCTTGTATTGCTTCAGAGGACGCAAAAAGGCCAGCCTTTTCTTTTATGTAATAACTTGAAGTTTCTAATTTGGCAGAAGCTGTATGAGCAAATCTTAAGCTAATTCTTCCACTCCTGGAGACAAGAGGAAATTAGTTTATGTTCACATTAAACAAATAGATATGGACCACATAAAATTAAGAAATCTTATTTCTCCAGGGCAACTTAAAACTTGCAGAAGAAATGAAAAAAATAACAATCAAAAAAATTTAATGGTTGTTCTGAACAAAATTTATTCTAAAGCATGATACATAAAGTTGAAACCTAACAGCTAATAAAGGTTATTGTAGGGGAAAAAAGCATATGTTGCACCAGTGTTATCATAGAGTTTTCCTCCTCCTTTGATTTGATATATGTAATTCTAAAATAAAAATGATGCTTAATAAACAGTAGCATTGAAACTATGAAGAGAACATGGGCAAGAAAAAATTGAAAGAAGATAAAGTATCTATCGATCAAATATATTTGTCAGAACAAACAGACTAAAACAAAAGCAGCCTTCCACTTCACAACACAATAACATGAAGTTCCAAAGAGAAGCCGGGTTAAAGAAGCAAAGTCAATGAGCACATTTCCATGGTCCTAACCCATCATTCTAATTTGGTTGGATATGCACCCAGACACTCCACCAACTCTTTATTTGAACCACTACCCATACAGGCACCAAGGGACCAACACAATTTCTGCCATTTATGGAAATTTCTTCCTTTGTCAGTTTTCTCTTCTATCCAGTCATCAAAAACTCTAAAACCAAACAATATCGCTCTCACACAAACACTTAGCAAAACCAGAAACATTTTATCATAAGCCTCCTCAGTGAAGCCACCCACAAAACTTAATTCCATCGAGACGATAAATTCTTATGCAACTACAAAAACAATCATACATTTCCAATCCTTTTCCCCTCCCCTCTACTTTCTAGGCAACCAAACAGACAGCAAAAGAAACAGCAAACAAAACCCAGATGGCAATTACATAAATTCACATCCCACAAAAGTAGAGACATGGGAAGGAAGTTACTTGAGAGGGTTCGAAGATCGGCGCAGCGCCCACATGATGAACCCTAGAAAGAAATGCAGAAACTGGAAGGGAAAGCCCTAGCTTTCTTGACGAATAGTTCACTGGGGATGTGGGAACTGGGAAGTATGAGAGTTAGAGGGTCTTAAACCCTAACCCCTAGCGAGATATCCCTGCAACTGGATCCGACCCGGAACTAAAAAGGACACAGTAGAGCCCCGACACCCGACGGGCCGTTGGAAATTTTCCCTTTTCTTTTGATAGGTTAAATTATTATTTGGTCCCTGACATTAGTAATTTAAACAGATTTTAGTCCATCTGCTTTCTCTTAGTTATAAGATTCAGTTTGTACCGTTGCAAGACATTAATTAAGAATTTTTAGGACTGAGATTCAATTGTTAGTGAACTTAATTCTATGACTTAAGTCCTAACTACACACTTTTGGAGACACTTTTGGAGTTGATTACTTAAAATCTATAAATCTATACTATGAAAGATGAGTGATTTTTATATTGTATTTAATTTAGTTTTTAACAAATTAATAAAATATATCGAAGGTAATTATCATTTTAGTTGTCATTGGATAATAAATACAATGAGGTGTCATTACTCCTTCCTATGTTTCCACCAAGCTTTAGCTTACAAACATATGCACAAAGGCATGGAGAGGAGATCAATTTTTATTTCTTTATCTACAAGTTGAGCATTAAAAATTTACGTGATCTAACTTGAAGGGAGTATTAGACATATTACTTAATTGTAAATATAAGTTGTAACTTGTAAATATTAAAGAATAGAAGATGTAAATTAGGATGTTAATATCTTGATTATGACGATCGCCCCTAGCAGCCAAGTTTGTATTTTATCTCAATATGCCTTCTTCTTTTTTTTTTTTATCTTAAACTAATTAGGGTATTTGAAAACATCTATTGATAAACTAATTTTAAATTTTTATATTTATAATTACGAACTATGACTAACAATCAAATTGAACAAAATCTAGCCTACCAACTAAAAAGCTTCCTTAGTCCAATTGCCAAATGTATATTGATATCTATATGAGACAAACTCACTCAACATTCAACAACTCTCAATTATACGGTATTCTTGTTGAGCTCAACCTATAGCCTCAATTCCAAAGTGGTCTTGCTCTCCAAGCCTATTAAGCAGTCTTGATTTCAAAATTTTGCTCCCTATTTCTTAAATTGTGTAGTTTGAAAAGAATATTAAATTGTGTAGTTTGAAATATATAACATTTTTTTTAACTTTTAATTTCTTTTTCCTTTTTATTTTTGCTTTTTTTTTTCTCTAAATGGGCAAAACATTCCCATAGCACATGATCGGATGTCACAATTGATTAAGAACTTAAAGATTTTCAATTGAAACATTCCATAAAATGGAGAGCAATTTGAGAAAAGAAAAGGGTTGTGTTCTCCTGTTTAGCCATCTTCAGATGTTAAAAGAGAAGAAAAAAAAAAATCGGGTGTCACGTAAGTAGCTTACAGTCTAGCAGAGAACATGAAATCCCAGCTCGCCGAAATTTAATTTTGAGGGAAAAAAAAAAAAAAAACTCACAAGAAATCCACAGATATTTGTTGATAAATCCAACCGATGAGGATGAACAAATGTTTTCTCAGTTAAAACCAAAACGAAACAGCAAACACAAAGTTTCCATTTTTCCTTTCCATTATATTCTTCCTAATTTCTAGGTTTCTGTCAAAAATTTTTGAATGTAACATTCTCTGAAACCCTAGATTCGGTGTTCGTAACCCCTAGGGAACTTCGCTTGAGTTCGTTTACTTGCTATTTTTCGAAGGTTT